CTTCCTTGTTTAATACAGTTTAAGGTAGTATTATTAGAATTTTTTTTATTAATTCTAATAATAGCATTTAAAATACTACTAATAGGCTTTTCTAGTATTATAGCTATAGTAGAAGTAGAAGTTTTAGCTTTTAAAAGAAGCTTAACTTAGGATTTAAATTTTAAGAATTTTAGCTCTATTTTAAAAATATTGCTAAGGGAATAGAAGTCTAGGATTTTTTTTCTAGAAGATATAGATTATATACTACTATTTTAGCGTATAATTACGTAATTCTAGCTTACTAATTTACTACTACTAGATTTAAAGTTAGATTTAAAAATCTTTTAGTTAATAAATATATTATATAAATTTAGTAACGTAATGCTTATTAAGCCTATATTAAGAATATAAAAAAAAAACTTAACTTTATACATCTAAAAAATAGTTCTAGCTTACTAAATTTTCTAGTTTTTTTATCTCTATTTTTAGACTAAATTATAGACTAGACGCTATAGTAAATAATTTTAATATAGTAATAAAAGATTTTAATAGGATAAATCTCTATAAGATTATCTACTTTTTTTTTTTGTAGCTATTTTACTTATCTAGATATAAGCCCTTTAAAAAGTAGCCTTTTATTTCTAATCTTTCTTTGTGTCACTCTACTGTATAATACTAAAAAGCTAGGTAATAAACTCTTTAGCTTCTAGATTTTATACCTAGATTCCTTTATATTTAATATTCTAAAGATAATATATAATATCTTCCTAGAGCTTATACTCTAGTACCTAGGTATATAAAACGTATTCTATATTCTTTTTAAGAATACTAACGTTATAAAATAACTAGTAAGCTTTAAGAGTATTATATTAAATATTCTTAATAAGACTTCTAGTATCCTTCTTATTACTATATTAGAAGAAGATATACTTAACTAGGAAAATTTAAGATATTAGGTACGTTTTCTAGCTCTTATATTAATATTCTTCTCTATTTCTAATAACTCTCTATTTAATCTTACTAATATTTATTCCTATAATATAATATACAGTACCTTATAGGTTCTTACTAAGATTATACTCTAAGATAATTATTCTACTAATAGAAAGTAGAGTCTTAAGAAGCTAAAGAATTTAAA